ACCCCCCCTTTACCTGTCCAGGCCACCACCCTGGCAACCCCCCACCTGCCTGTGCCCTCCCTGAACATCCCGCCACCTGCTTGTGACCCCACCCTGGGCACCCCCATGAGCTGCTGTGACCCAGGGCAGGATTTGGCCCCCAAGCACCGTACAGCACCAGGCCCTTGGGATTTATGGTGGCTCACAGACCAGACGGAGTGGGACATGGTGGGGCAGGGCCCCGGGAAAGATCTGCAGGGGACGGGCTCTGCATGCGAAGGGACTGCAGGCCGGGAGAGGAAAAGGCTGCAGCGTGCAATAGGGCCCAGAGAGGTGCAGCAGGGAGGAGGCTGGGCAGCACAACCCCCGTGAGGGACCGGGAAGGCACAGGCAGGGCCGGGCAGCATGGGATACGGCAAGCACTGGTGGGCCAGAAGCACTGGTGGGCCAGGCAAGCTGGCAGCAGGCAACCCCAGGAAAGCATGGGCTTGGGCAGCAGTGGGCAGGGCTGGGCAGCAGCGTGGGACTGGGCAGCGAGGAGCAGAGCTGTGCAATTCCAGGGCAGGCAGAGCAGGGCAGTACAAGGCAAATCCAGATGCAGTATGGGACTAGGCAATGCAATCCAGGATCAGGCAGTATAACGCAGCACAGTGCCCAGCAGCACAGCACAGTCCAGCCAGCAACGCGACGGCAGAACGGGCGATGGGATGTAACGCAGGGGGGCAAGGCAGCACAACCAACGGAATATGGGGCTGGGAAAGGCAGCGCAGTACAACCCAGCTCCAGATCAAGGCAGTGCAATGCAGTATGGGACCCGGCAGCACAGCATTGTGCAACACCGTGCGATGCAATTCTAGGTCAGGCAGCGCCGTGCAATACTGGACTCGGCAGCAAAGCGCTGCACAGTGCAACTCCACACCAACCAGCGCAATGCAATAAGGGACCTGGAAATCCGGAGCAAAGCCAGATCAGTCACGTCGGGCAGGAGAGCCCCCGGCCGGGCAGGGCAGCACAGCACGGGGGGCGGCAGCGCGGT